CAGTGCCGCGCCTGCGCAGGAGATGCCCGCCATGGTGCCAACAACCTCCAGCACTCCGTTTTACTCCTCCCCGCCGTACTGTCCAGAGACGAACAGTCTTCCCGCCACAGCTACCGTCGACATGACACGTCTGCTCAACTGGACACAGGAGCAACTGCGTGTCATCAACTGGTTTAATTTCTTTACGCAGTTTTATCATCGGGCATCGGGTGGCAGTCCATCCGAGCAGACAGAGGGGTTGTCTGCCGATTTCAAGCCCTCAACTGCACTTCCTGCTCCTTCGGATTCCCACCAGATATTCGGCAGCCCGCCCGAACAGGAAGTGGCAAGAAGGAGTAACTCACCAGAGCGGGGGACCGGCAGAAGGAGCGAAGATTCAGGAATCCACAAGGAAACAACCGATGCACCCATTTGGTCTGTTGCCAAGATAGCCTTGTCCAGTCCGCGGTCGGGGACAGGTCAATCCTTTCGGTTAGAACCCAGCGCTACAGTCGATAATCTACAAAGAAGAGCCTTGGAAAATGTTAATTTATAACGGGTTCTTGTAGGTGATGTCAATGTGTTCGTCTGTTGCATTTGCAGGAAGGGATTTATGTTACACAAGTTATTTAGGCTTCTCATTTGGACAATTAAACGTAGTTTTGAATTAGGGATAGACCTAACCTACCATAGCTGCTATCATGCAGTCCAAATCAGCGTCCTGCATGCTTAAGAATATCTACAGACTAATATTTTGTCTCAGGGTTACGAAGGAAGTTTCAGAAGTGTACCTTGACCGCGTTTTGAATTACCGAATGTACATTATTTTCTATAATTTCCTAGTCTTTCGCATTTTGCCCAAACATAATCTGAAGTACCTATGTTGGATGGCTTCACCATTGATATTATATCATGTGATCATAACGGACTATTTGCGTATGCTTCAGTTGTGTATTACTTGCCGCTAGCTTTCACTTTAAATATTACTAGTGCAAAGTGGTACATAGTCACAAATGATTTTATCGATTCCCAAAGGCAAAGGCATCCAGGTATGTAACCTGGAACCCTACCCGTTCCCATTCCACCCTAGAGGCCAAAATGAGTTAGAATTATTGCAGTCTGCTTCCCCAAGATGAGGGAGGTTGATATATGTTATTACTTGGTTTAGCAAGGGTAAGCTACTTATATAAAATTCACAAACGCTTTTAGAGTAACTAGAACCTAATATTAGATATATTTCTTTCTTTTAGAATCATGGTAGCCATGTATAAAGGAGATCTTCCTCGATAAATACCTTTCCATGCTTTTATTCAGAGGGCACCTCTCTGTATATTTGATATTCAGTAGAACAAAAGGACTATTGGAAAGTGTATCTACTTCAGGTTTTACGCAATCACCGTTAAAAATGCCCCTTATTTTTGTGAGAACAAACATACCTCTCCCATACCACTTCCCTCCCCCTCCATTCCATAGCTCTGACTGCTTTTAGCAGTCATCCTTGTGTTATGTTCTCCCCTTCCTTAAACCTCCTGTAAATAGTGTCATTTATTTGTCTTCATAAACATTGAAAGCCGAATGACCTCTTGCGTTGCACGTGTTTATAAACACAGCTATGTTCAATGTTTTAGTGAATACAACACGAAATTCATATGACCTTACCAATGTGGTGTCAATATTCAACGTGTATTTAGAAAAAGGAAGTGTCTTAGGAGTTTTATTCGCCTGACGTTTAAAAATCCGGCCCAGATCCATCCTCAGAGACAGTAGCGCTAAACATGCATGTTGCTTAATCAAGTTAGACCAACAAAAACCAAATGAATAATTAAAATTTGTCAGCAGATGCGTCACTAGGTGTCAGAACTTCAGAATGTGAACGCTAATCAAAAGGAGAAGTCTTAACTTTACTGTGAAAATATGTTTTACAATTAGGGTAAAAGTAAGGCACTGGTCATAGGAATCCCTACAATTCCAAAGGGACGCCGGTAAAATCGGTCCGACTACTACAGATGTACGCGCGTACGAGTGTTCTGCAGTACGATCACTTTATCATGAGAAAATGTGGATGCTACTTGTATGAATGTATTCAATAATAACAATTGCGAAACGAATCGGGTTCAACCACCCAGCAGGAACCTGACATTCGCCATGTGTGTTTAAATTTACAACGCAAATCATGATCGGCTGCTTCCAGTGAGCAAACATACCTACGAATATTGCTAACGGACGGCCTTCTGCTGTTTCATGCTCATACAAGTAACCCAGCTGGAAGGCCATAGGAACAAAAATGGGAAAGAATCCTGCCGATCGGCAGAGTAATTTTTTCTTGAACGCCGTCGTCAGATTTCAGGGAAGGAACATGATAAATGGTACTCACACACCCGATCAACTTATAGTGTTGCAGTTTGCCTCAAAGTTAAGAGGATACCAACAGATATCCGTGTGCACGTGCCTCAAAGCTTTGGATCTCTCTGCACTTAAAATGGAATTCATTGTGCGCCAGATATTCTCGACACGTTAAGTGGGATACCTGTTTAATAATGTATACGTTTTGAGATACACTTTAGTGTGAGAACTTCGTCCATGTGTCTCCGCCCGCCGTAAGAAACTTGAGCCTATTGTGTTTGGTACCGAAAACCTGGCGCTTATGCAATCAAGTATTTATTCAGAAGTGTTTTCCTTCTTTAAAAGTAATTTGGGGAATTTACTCATTACGTCTGCGAAAAAACAAAAATTCTTATATTTAAATATATTTTCACCAGGAATAGATGCTCAGTTAGACATTTAGCTTGGGTGCTATCAATGACAAATTGCAAGGGATTTAGAGAAGACATTGCAATTTTAACTGCTATCTTTCGTCTGAAACACACACTAACCTTGCATATCCTCTTTATGTCAACTGTTCGACCTTGCTTCAAAAATTGCCTGCTTTGAAAGAAAACTAGGCAACAAAACCATTTTGCTTACCCAGATCCTTCAGTACAAAACTGTCATATGTGCTAGCGCATCTCTAAAGCGATTTGAAACCCATTGGACCCACATTTGTTAATTTTGTAAACATGCTATTTTAAAATACTCCTTAGTTCAGTATATATCAGTATATTTGAGGGTTAGGTACGTGAGTTGCCTTTGACTTCCCTAAAATGTTTGCCACGAGCGGGAATCGAACCCACGTTCCGTGGATCGCGAAAATAGAGTGAGACCATTAGAATATCGCCGTAGTTGTCGGATGACCTCGCAATCAAAGTGGTCTTAGGACGAACATGGAAAATCGTTTCTTTTTCCATTGCCTGCGGGAAGATGATAAAGGTCCGAATGGCGGTTAATTTGATCTGAATAAATCAGGAATCGAAGTAAATGTTTCCTGGGCAAAAAAGCTCAGGGTCCGGTTATTGGTGTGCGTATCTTCAGATAACATGACTAATTTGTTAATCAACACTAAAATATGATGTTTGTTAGTAGTTGGCGGGGAAGTCAATATAATCATATACCCCAAAAGATTTTCACGTTACGAAGCCACTTACTGGATGCGAACTTGACTTAAGAAAAGAAACTTAGTGGTTTAACTCAGTTTTTTAATTTTGGTTGACTGTTTTTAAAAAGTCAAAGCTAACATGCTCCCCACCCTCAGTCACCATGCCAGCTCTGATACGTAATCGCGTAAGCACATGCAAATTTATATCACGCTTCCATTAGATATCTAATAAGTTCACAATATGTGCGTGGATCTTATTACGTGAACTATCGACTGGCTATCAATTAGCGTTTACTGTCTGTCCTCGTCTATATTTAGAGGCGATGCTTTCGATTTTAACAAGACCTAAATCCCTAGCGAAAGTGACTTTACAATTTTTTTCTGTATGAGTCAATTACCGAAGTAGATTTGTTAAAGTTTAATGATGATTGAGGTGGAATACCAATGAGGCCAATAAATGAGCCATGCTATTAGAAATAAAGGTACCAATTTTGATCAGGAGGTACACGGTGCTCAGTGCCTCGACATAACTTTAAGGAAGGCCAATAAGAACGGATTTTACATACGTCAGGAAGTATTTCTGAGACGGATTTAATCGGTGGAACGAGTTTATTGGTTCGACGTTTTATATTCTTACTGAAAAACATAAGTGAGAATAGTGGTGGGTGAAGGAGTGTGGAAATCATGCATGTTGATGCAGCTGACAATTTAGACCATTATATACGAAAGCTCGAACTATTGATGTAAGTTGGTTCTTCTTTCTGCGAAGACTACATTAACATTTTATATTTTATGACAAAAGAAGCCAATAGCAAACACACTTATAA